GTAAGCTATTGCTTCCCACATTGAGCTCAGGTCCCATCCTGGTCATCCTGTGACCTGAGAACGGGGCTTCAGGGGTGGGGTGCTCCATCACTCAAGGAGCAGCTCACCCAGATTGAGCACATCGTCACCCCCAATCCCAACTTCAAGTTGTAAGAGGAGAATTTAATCAACTGAGCAGAAATGCAAAGAGTCTCAGTTGACACCTTAGGAAGGTTCTAATTCAGAGTAGGCCACTCACCATGCAGATCTTTTCCCCACAGGTTTTAGTACACTCTGAATGTGCAAGCAGTGCAAATGACAACTGTCCAGCAAACCTCAGAGCTCAGAGATCTAATTACATGTACAGTGTGTGAAGAAAGGGATAAAATAGTGTTGCTAGATAAGAATAAAATATAACAATTTGCCGGGCAAGAAGATCAACTAGAGAGCTGTGAATCAAGCAAAGGGAGTATTAATTAAGGGCCAGTTACTAGGTAGGGAAATAATGAACACAGAACAGAGAGGGAAGAGAAGGAATGGAAGTTATGTAAGGGCTACATTGCAAAATGTGTTTTCTTTTACAAATAACTTGAGAATGTTTTGTAATATGCTCCATGCTTGTTTGGGAATGTTTCCTTTCTTCTTATAATCTTTGCACTGAATTGAAATATTTTAAGTGACATTAACCTGTCCTGATTCAAACCTGAATGGGTAATGAGGGTCCAACTGAATGAGCCGCATAGAAAGGCTGTGTCCAGTCTTACTCATGTATGGTGTAACCAGCCATTTTGGTATTACTTCTGAGGTTTCGTCTTTACCCTCCATTTTGACTGCTTCATGCTTCTTGATACCTCTTGCAAGAGGCAGAAAGTTATGTTTCCTTCATGAGTTTTGGATACTCTGTGTTGGTAGGAATAAGATGTTCAGAGGGCAAGAAAGAGTTTGAAAACAAAGGTCAAAATAATCTGGATAGAGCAGCCAACGAACCATGAAGGGTCTTGCCTTCAAGGTGAGGAAGAGGGACCAGGATCCAGGCTTCTTAGATAAGCTACAGCACATGCCCTAACTGCAGCCTCTTCATCTGTGGAATGGAGAAAACTGGCCCAGTTCATGGAGTTGCTTGGAGGAGTAAAGAAATGATACCCATGGAGCATCTGTCATACCTAGTCCCCAAGACCATACATTAGTGTAAAAGGAGTGCCACGGTGACAGTCAAGAAGAAAACTCTTTTTTCACTCATTCTGGTTAAATGCTGACCAGAGGCCAGGAACCATACCAGATGGTGGGAACAGAGCAGTCAATCTACGCCTACATTTACAATATGAATTTTAATGAATGGCAATACTTTAGTTGGGAAGTCTCTCTACAATTATCAGTCTGATACAGAGATGCCTTTCCTCAAGTTCCCCTGTACCTAGCGTGTGTCTCAAGTATGCATGATGCAGAAAATCACCTGAGGCTGAAATTATGGCTTCAAGTCTATGTTGTGACCCACGTGCCTCCACCTTCAACTGGAAGGTCCTAGAAGTTGAGGTCTTTGCGCTGTTGGCACATAGCACTACTTATATATAGCAGATAGTCAATATATGTTTAATAACTGGGTTTAACAATGGACACATGAATGAAAGAATAAATGAATAAAAAATAAATGAGTAACTTCTCAGTTTTCTGATTCATAAAATGATGATAATATCAGTATCCCCTTTTTTACTGTATCTAAAGGCATTTAGAATGCATACAATTCTATGCAGGCATATTTTTGTTCAGAGCAGCACAATATCCAAGAGGTGGAAGCAGCTGGAGTGCCCCTCGATGGCTGAACAGATAAATGAAATGTGACATGTACATACAATGGAATATTTTTCAGCTTTAAAAATGAGCAAAATTCTGACACATGCTACTACATGGATGAACCCTGAGGACATTACACTAAGTGAGAGAAGACAAATATGGTATAGGTCTACTTATGTGAGGTACCTATGTTACTCAAATTCATACAAATTGTATGGTGGTTGCCAGGGCCTGGAGAATGGGGGAGAATGAAGATCTGTTGTCCAATGGGTGCAGAGTTTCAATTTTGCAAGATGAAAAAGTTACAGGGACTGGTTGACCAACAAGGTAAGTATACGTAACAGTACTATGTAACTATGTACAATTAGAAATGGCTAAGATGGTAAATTTTACCTTAAGTGTTTTTTATCACAATAATTTTTTTAAGTTCTATGTAGGGACTGGCTTGTGATGATGAACACACGCTTCTACTCTCTCCAGCCCCACACCTCATAAATCATCGTGTGTTTGTACGTGTGTGTGTGTGTGTGTGTGTGTGTGTGTGTGTCTATCAGTAAGTGCTGAAAAATAAGAAAGTGTGCCTTCAATGGACTATAGTGTTTGAATTGTTCTTGAAAGATAAAAGTAGATGGATTGGTTATGTAATGGGAAAAAAAGAATGAATCATAAGCAAAGCTAGAAGACTGCAAGGAAAAAGAGCTAAGTCCAGGGTGCTCCGAACCTGGGGTCAGTACATAAATGGAGCTAGAAGGGTTCTGATACAATAATCAGTGAGTGAGTGAAGTGCTGTACTTAGTGTGGCTACACATGTCAGGGCAAAAATGAGATGGAAAAAAGGAACATGTGAGTTTAGAACACATATCTAAATTTCATATCTAGCCAAGTTGCATTAAAAAAGCTGGTCAAAGTAAAGACAATATAGAAAATGTAACAATTCTGAAAAATTTATACCCTCCAACTTCTCAAAGAATTGCATATAAGATGTGTAACCACACAATGACAAAAAAAGCAAAAGAGAAATGTAATGGTCCACAAGAAAAAGTAAGTTGTGGCAAAGAAACCCTAGAGTAGAGTCTTTGTGATTATTGATACAATAAAAAAAGAAAAATCTAGTAGGAAGTCTATTGATCTCAACATGTTGGGGGGTAAAGGAGATGAGTAAAAGGAGAAATGGGGGAATTAAGAAAGTGCTAAGATTAAAAAAAAAAAAAAAAAAAAAAAGGGGGGCACCTGGACAGCTCAGTTGGTTGAGTGTCTGACTCTTGATTTTAGCTCAGGTCATGATCTCAGGGTTGGGGGGACTGAGCCCTGTGTCAGTCTCCAAGGTGAGTGTGGAGCTTGTTTGATATTCTCTCTCTCTCTCTCTCTCTCTCTCTCTCTCTCTCCTCTCTCTCTCTCTCTCTCCCTCCCCCTCCCTCCCTCATCCCCCTTCCCCCACTCACTCTCTCAAAAATAAAAAAATAAATAGAAATTTTAAAAAAGATTGATTCTTGTTCAGGAAATATATACATACTAACCAATTCTAGACTTTATTAGAAAAACATAATTTTAAATATGTGCATTAAAAATGAAAGAGTAGGGGTGGGGCACCTGGGTGGCTCAGTCGTTTTAAGTGTCCGATTTCAGCTCAGGCCATAATCTCCCGGTTTGTGAGTTCGAGCCCCGCATCAGGCTCAGAGCCTGGAGCATGTTTCAGATTCTGTGTCTCCATCTCTCTCTGTCCCTCTCCCACTCACACTCTGTCTCTCGCTCTCTCTCAAAAATAAGTAAACATTAAAAAAAATTTTTAAATGAAAGAGTAATTTCAAAAAAGAGTAACTTTTAGAAGGAAAAATATAATGTATAATTCTCATAACATTAGAAGGAAAAAGGAGCAAAGGAATAAAACAAAAGCAATGTGATGAAGCCAAGAAAAGAAAGGGATTAAGCAAGAAAACTTGGAAAATATAAAAATGAACATGGCAAGAAAAAGAACATGGCAAGGTATTTTAATGACTATATATGTAACCTTATACTGTGGTGTTTATTTTGATATTCTATTTCTTTTTTTTTTTCAATGTTTATTTATTTTTTATTTTTGGGACAGAGAGAGACAGAGCATGAACGGGGGAGGGGCAGAGAGAGAGGGAGACACAGAATCGGAAACAGGCTCCAGGCTCTGAGCCATCAGCCCAGAGCCCGACGCGGGGCTTGAACTCACGGACCGCGAGATCGTGACCTGGCTGAAGTCGGACACTTAACCGACTACGCCACCCAGGCGCCCCATTGATATTCTATTTCTTAATTAAATTACAGTTACAGGCTCTCACATTGTGTATAAGAAATCACCAAGAGTAAATCAGACATAGAATATGAAAAATAAAAAGATACAAAATATATGTAAGATAAAATTTACAAAAAAGCATGTATGGCAACTAACTGTTGAAAGTCAACCCAAAATTAATAAAAAGAAAATAGAAAGGTACTTCATATTGATGAAACTTCTAGCCCACCAAAAGTATAAAACATTCATGAACCTCTAATGTCTATGACATAGCCTGGAGGTATATTTTTAAAAATGAATACATGAGAAATTGATAGATCCGTAATCAAAGTGGAAGACTGGAACAAATCTCAGAAATTTAAAGCAAGTAGACTGGAAATAAGTAAGACACTATTAATCTATTAAAATAGAGAAGACAGAATATTCATTCTTTTCCCAATGCATATGGAATGTTCAAAAACCGATAGCGGATAAAGTCACAGACAAAAATCTCGCCGAATCACCCCAGAGTAGGAAACACCCATGCCACTTCCCCACCCAAAATGCAGTAAAACAAAAAATTAAAAATAAATCATACTTACACCAACACAATGAAAAACACTTTATTGAAGTAGAAATTTTAAAACTGGATTTTAAATAACTCTTGGGCTAATGAGGAATTTAAAAATGACATTTAAACAACACAAAAAACTGATTGGCAGCGGGGTATACAAACATCTACGAGATGCAACCGAAGTAGTAATCAAATGAAAAATTACAGCCTGAACTTGCATATTAGAAAACGTAACAAATAAAAATTAAATGAACTAGACATACAATGTAAAAAATTAGAAAAAGTTCAAATGCTACAAAAAAGTCAATAATTAACATTTAAAAAAATTATGAAGTAAAAATAAAATGTAGATTATCAATAAAAACAAAAGAAAGTTCATTGAAAATACCAAAGAAAAGACAAACCTCTGGCAAGTCTAAGAGAAGGAAAAACAGAGAGAAAGAAAAAGAGAAAACACAAGTCAACAACATTACAAACTGTATCTGAATAAAACTCTTAAAGATAAAGAATTTTTTTTACTGCAAGAGAACAATATGTATAATTTTGTGCAATAAATTATAAAGTCTGGAAAAATGGATGTTTCCTAGGACAATATATACTGTCACAACTGACACACAGAATTTGGAATTCAAAAGTTAGTAACAAATCCAGCTCTAAAGAAAACAGCCCCGGGCACTTTTTCCCAAATGTCAAAAATTTGTTTTACATAAGCTATTTTATGGTGCGGAAAAAAGTAGGTAAATTTTCTGATGCATTCGACGTAAGCAGCATAAAGGCGAGATGTCAACTAGGCAAAGTAACACAAAAAAGAAAATGACAGGCTACTTTGTCTCCAGACAGAACAAGGAAACAAAATCCCAAGATAACATGGGGCACGCTGAATTTGGCCACAAAATTTCTGGGATAAACCGTTTTCCATTTTATATTAAGCCCTGTTTTGCGCAGTTTATATAAAATTTTAAATATAATATAAATGTATATAACTTACAAAAATATATAAAATACAAAATTTTATACAAGATGGCAAAGCAGGGTTCATCAAGAATTTCTTAGTATAACTTCCAAGTTTTAAATACATACCTATATATATATATATATATATATACATATATACACACACACATATATACTATATATATAGTCTATATATACATGGCTATATATACCTATATATATATGGCTAAGTATACCTCAAATACATACCTATATACACACACACACACACACACATATACGGCTTTAGTCTGTCCACACACACACACACACACACATGCAACACATTCATCTTAAGAAGTCACAGATCATAAGAAAGTTTTTCTAATCTACTAGAAGCCTGTTTATTTAAAGATGAAGCACTAGAATATTTGGGACCCAAGTCAGAAAAGGGAACGCTGATCTGTATTCCCACTATTCTTTTAATAATCACTGGAAGTCTTTGCTAGTACATTAGGACGAGGGAAATAAACTGGAAAGAGAATCTACTAGACAACGTTGTCAATATTTGCCAATGATTTTCTTCCTAGAGAATCTTAACAACAAAAACTATCAAAAGCTAGTAAGAAAGTTCTATAATGTCATGGGTTATAGATCAACATTAAAAAAAAAATTAAAAAAAAAACACTTTTTTATGTATCAGGTAACCAATTAAATTGCAATGGAAAAAAAAATCCTTTTTTAAAAAAATACCTAAGGGGCGTATTTAGGTATTTTAAAAAAATACCTAAGGTGGCTCAGTCAGTTGAGCTTTAGACTGTTGATTTTGGCTCCGGTCGTGATCTCACAGTTCATGGGATCGAGTCCTGTGTCAGGCTCGGGCTCTGCACCTTGCTTGGGATTCTCTCTGTCTGGGTCTCTCTGCCCTCCCCCTACTTTCTCATGTGCTCATTCTCTCACTCTTGCTCTCACACTCTCTCGCAAAATAAATAAACTTTAAACATACCTAAGAATAAAATTAATAGTAACATTTTTAGAAAGTATAGATTTTACTGAAGCCACAGTAAATCCTTGTAAACATGGGGTGGGAAGAGAGAAATTTCTTATATAGCACGTTTTTGTATTATACACTAAAGCAATTCTCTCCATATTAATCTATCGATGCAATACCATTATCTCTTTTATATGTTCCTTAGTGTACTTAAGTGTGTGAATTCTTAAGAATGTATTCATGTATTAATTCACACTATTTTTTGCAGACATGAGCGTAAGGGAAGAAAATGCTATGCAAGTGTAGCGGAGTGTATTTTGAGGCTCGGAAGAAGGTGAGGCTGTCGGGATGCCTGCAACCACACTAACACGCTAAGTCAGAAACAGGCCTAGAATCTGGACTCTGACTTCTATTCACAAAACTCTTCTTTTCACAACACGAAGCCCGTCACTTTTCTTTGTCTCCTGCTCAAACTTAAGTATCTGAAGGAGAGGTGCCATTTCTCCATTTCCACTCAAAACCGTGGCTTTCCTAATGGCTCTTCAGAGTTGAAGGGCCTTCTTGTCCACTTGCCCGCGCTTAATCCCATCCCACTTTCCTAGACTTTACTTTGGCAGGCCAGTGCCACCCATTCTTATTCCACAGCCAGGCTAGTTAACCTGTGTGGGCACATCTTAGATGCCAATGGGGAAACGACCCTGGGGAACCTCAGTATGCCCCTGACATTTAACCCGAATCACAGCATGGAGGTTTCACCACCAAAGAGTTCATCAAGTCTTTTTTTAATAGATGCTATGGAAACCATTGTTTCACATAGTCATTTAAGACTTCAGCTTTCCTGCGAGAATTTTAGCAAGGACTTGGCTACCTCCACCCTTTCATCAATGTCGTTCAGGAAGAAAGGTACAACAAGCTTGGGAAACACTAAACTCCAAGCGTCAGTAAACTGTAAAACCGAAAGCCTCACACTTTGACAGCGACTGCCTGCCCACCAGTCCTTAGGTCTCATCCATATTTTTCAATTAAGCGACTGTCCACCAACACGGTCTGACTGATCCAGAGCCTCTGATTCACTTGGTGAGCTTAATATTACTAAAATGTAGAAAGAGGTGCCCAATGAGAGCTAAGGGATAAAATGCCTTCTCTGTTTGAGGATAGAAGGCAAAATACTGGAGAGTGGGCAACTCTTGTTTCAATGAACAAGAACACATCACTATCAGATTCCTCCTAGTCTTACTTAACCCTAAATATGATAACTATAAAACAAGCCACTCTTGAGGGTAATCCCTAAACTTTCCCTCTACCCGATGGGCATCTTTCTCTTGGAATATAGTATGAAATGATTCACTTTATCTTATTATTTTCAGGAAAAATAGGAATCAGAGTCAAGCGTAAGTGGGAACAAGTGATATTTCAAATAATTATGCTTACATTTAACGGATACAAATAGCCCCTGGGGTATATCCCATAAAGTCATCAAAGAGCCTACTGAAGTCTCGTAGCTTTCACCACGCCAACCTGGTTATTTCAAGAAGGACTTTAAACCCCATCATGTTACCAGTGTCTAATGAGTGGGACCTGATTATGTGTCCTCCACATCTATCATTCTTTTAAGAGGAAAGCTGTATTTTATAGAGGGTACTGAACATCTACAAAAATAATTCAATAAATGCTGCTAACATTTCAAATCAAGGGAAATTCTGTACTGTGTTAAACCTGGCATTGTTTTGTAAAACAAGACACATTATGTCCAGGGGGCAGAGGGCCTAACCCTGGCCACCATGAACTACTCTGTAGCTCTAAAAAGATTATTTTCTTTCTCTTACTCTGTAGACTAGAAAGACCACATAACATTTTATTAAGTTTATATGTTATTTTCTTTTGACATAAAATTAGGCTTTGGAATTTTTTTTTTTTTATAAAATAGAGAGGGAGAGAGAAAGAATACCTACCTCAGTAGGAAATTACAGAGACAAATTAATATTACCAAATTTATAAGCTACACCAAAATGAAATGTTTCACTAAGAATACTTGGCCCACAGATTTTACCTATTTGAAGATACTACTCACTCTTGACCACCAAAAAGTTAAAGGTGAGTTATAGCTTGACTAACCTTTCAGTTTTATAATAATCATAGCCAATATTTTTGAGCACATTCCATGACCAGACTCTTCTAAATGTGCTACATATATAAAATTATTTAATTCTTGCAAAATCCTATGAAGAAGGTGTTAATATTAATACTATTTCATAGGTAGGGAAGACAGTAGAGTTTAGTAAGTTTAAATAACTTGCCCCAGACAAGACATGTGGCTAATGGAGCTAGGAGGACCGATTTAAAGGCTGCACCCTATCCCCTAACCCCATGCATCCCTTGTGTATGACTTTTACCCACATGTAGTGAAGTAGCCCAAACCGTGGAATATCTAATATACATGAAACTCTTCCTCTATCCTTACACATAATACCCAGAAAACTATGATATTTATTAACAGCACTAGAAAACTCCTTCATATGGGAAGCAGATTTAATGTTAAGTCTTAGCTATCCACACTAGCATGCATAAGCAAGAATAGGTTAACACAAAGAAGGACTGTTTCAAACAGGTGAAACAAGGAAATTGGTCTTTTGAACAGAGACTAGGTTGAGAACCACATAAGTTGCTTCAATGTAGGCTCAAAATGTCTCTTACAAAACTAACCTAGTACTAAAATTATCTCAATTTTCTATTCACAAAAGATGACACGTTCTCAGTTATGTAACAATTTCTGATCTATTTCATTTCTATTCATTAGATGAGACTCCCTCTTTCAAATAACATGTTTAGTCTAATTGTGACTAAATTTACCAGTAACAGTTATTTGTATCAAAACATAAATGTAGGAAAGTACAAGCCACTTTTTTCCTATCTTTTTAAGAAGTAGCAACTTGGGGGTGCCAGGTGGGTGGGAAGAGGAAGGCAGAAAAGGATGCAAAATATTCAAATCCACATGGTACATAACACAGAATAATTTATCAATTCAAGCTTGTCAACCGGGTTGTACATTAGACGATGTGTCTGCACAAATAAGAAACAGTCCATTGCGGGCTCTGTAGTGTGGAGGAGGAGCAAACCCATGGACAATAATCACACGTGATCGGGGAGCAGAGATCTCCAGAAGAGGCAAAAAGAGATCCAGGAGCACTGAGGAGCGGTTGTGTCCCTGCGAAACAGAGGAGGCCTCCATGTCAGAAAGCCTGCTTGAGGAAAGGCAGGAAATTCACCGGGATAAGGGAAGATGGGAAAGGGAACCAGGCCTCGAGAGCTGATTCATCCCTCAAGAGCATGGATCAATTCAATCTTTATTACAAAATAGTTACTTTGGGGCGCCTGGGTGGCGCAGTCGGTTAAGCGTCCGACTTCAGCCAGGTCACAATCTCGCGGTCCGGGAGTTCGAGCCCCGCGTCGGGCTCTGGGCTGATGGCTCAGAGCATGGAGCCTGTTTCTGATTCTGTGTCTCCCTCTCTCTCTGCCCCTCCCCCGTTCATGCTCTGTCTCTCTCTGTCCCAAAAATAAATAAACGTTGAAAAAAAAAAATTCAAAATAGTTACTTTACTCAGGTTTCTGGTCAATTTCAACATGTTTACTCCAGAAAACTAGAACCTAAACATTTTGAAAACTGAATTAATAACAACAGCATCAGTAATAGATATTGATGTCAGTTCTTTATCCTTGGAGTGGTGTCCATGGTGCAAATCCTCCCACTGCAGTTGATTTCAAGCTACCAATGGTTTAACAGCTAGCCTACAAAATTCCTGAATATTTGACTAGTAGCTCTCCTTCTTCATAAGATACTTGCCAGTTTCAGTTCTTAAAGACTAAATTACTTAAGGAACTATGTGTGAATTTTTAAATTCTGAAGCTATTCCTTTGATTATTAATCCTGGTATTCTGTGTGATTTCTAGAATGATGGTTTTTAATCATCTTACCCTCATTTATCAACATTAAAGTTAGGTAAGCATCAATCTTAAAATACGTATGGAATCACAACAGATTCTGAATAGCTTAAGCAATCTTGGAAGAAGAAGAACAATGTTGGAGGCATCACATTTCCTGATTTCAAAATATGTTACAAAGCTATAGCAATCAAAACAACTTGGTGCTGGCATTAAAACAGACACATAAACCAATGGAACAGAATAAAGAGCCCAGAAATAAACCCAAGCATATGCGGTCAAATGATACTTAGCCAGGGTGCCAAGAAGACATCATGAGGAAAGGGCATTCTCTTCCATAAATGGTGTCAGAAAAACCAGATATCCACTCACAAAAGAGTAAAACTGGACTTACATCTTATACCACTCACAAAAATTAACTTGAAGTAAATTAAAGACTTATTTAAATAAGACTTGAAGACCATAAAACTCCTAGAAACACAGAACAAAAGCTCCTTGACAGATATACTGGCAAAAGGACTTTTTTGGATATGGCACCAAAAGCACAGGCAACAAAAGCTTAAATAAACAAGTGGGACTACATCAAACTAAAAAGTTTCGGCACAGCAAAGGGTACCATCAACAAAATACAAAGGCAATCTACAGAACTGGAAGAAAATATTGCATTTCATAAGGAGTTAATATACAAAATATATAAGGCACTTACACAACTCAACAGCAAGAAAGCAAACAATCTGATTAAAGCAAACGGCCATAGGTATCTGAAAACGTGCTCAGCGTCACTCATCATCAGAGACACACAAATCAAAACCACAATAAGAGAGCACACCTCACACCTGTTAGAATGGCAAGTATAAAGAGGGCAGGAGATAGCAAATGTTGATGAGGGTGTGGAGGAAAGGGGGCCCTTGGTCACTGTTAGTGGGAATATAAACTGGTGTAGCCACTTGGGAAAACAGTATGGAGGCACCTCAGAAAATTAAATATAGCACTACCATATGATCCAGCAATCCCACTTCTGAGTATAGATTCAAAGGACACAGAATCACTATCTTAAGAAGATATCTATACTCACATGTTCATACAGCATTATTTGCGATAGTCCAGATAAAGTGATCATCAACAGATGAACGAATAAAGAAAATATGGCAGGAACGCACATGCACATGTGCGTGTGCGCTCACACACACACACACACACACACACACACACACACTAGAATATTATTCAGCCATGTGAAAAGAAGGAAATCCTGCCATTTATGATAATATGGACAAATCTGGAGGGCATCATGCTTAGTGGAATAAGCCAGACGAAGAAAGACAAACACTATATGGTATCACTTATATGTGGAATTGTTTTTATAAAGTGCTGAACTCATAGAAACAGAGACAAGATTGGTGATTGCCAGGGGTGTGGAACGGTGGGGAGGAAATGGGGAGACATCAAAGGGCAAAACTTTCAGTTATAAGATGAGTAAGTTCTGAGAATCTAATGTACAGCATGGTGACTACAGTTAATAATACTGCATTGTTTACCTAAAATTTGCTAAGCGTAGGGGTGCCTGGGTGGCTCACTCAGTTGAGCATCATGACCTGAGCCTAAGGTCAAAGGCTCATGGGTTTGAGCCCTGCATCAAGCTCTGTACTGACAGCTCACAGCCTGGAGCCTGCTTCGGGTTCTGTATCTCCCTCTTTCTCTGCCCCTCTCCTGTTTGCACTCTGTCTGTCTGTCTCAAAAATAAGTGAACATCAAAAAAACTTTTTTTAAAAAATTTGCTAAGTGTAGATCTTAAGCATTCCACCACGTAAATAAAATAACTGTGAGGAGATGGCTGTTAATTAAGTCAATTATGATAAATATTTCACAATGTATATGTTTATCAAATCATCGGCTAGCTGTATATTCTAAATATATACAATTTTATTTGTCAATTATACATCAACAGAGCTAGTAAAAACAAAATTAAAAGTTATAAGGCTGGAATAATTTCAAACTTAAAGTTGTTAGCATTACAACATCTCTTTCAATGAGAGACTTGAAACAAAATCCCTTTATTTTTAAAATTGCACAGTAACTGACTAAAAATAAATAATTAAGATTCAACTCTCTTCTCATCCAATCAATTTTGAAGCAAATAGGGTGTAGTGTCTTGGGAAATCACTACTAACTTTAAAAATGTTACTTACATCAATGTTTAATAAATGAATATATATGATACTAATATGTAATGTGTTCCAAGTGTGTTGACATTTAAAGACCTTAAAGGGCTTGTTTTTTGTTTTTTGTTTTTTAAGAAAAAAAAACTAAATCCAGATGCACATTTCAAAAGTGAAAACACCCCAGTGTGGAGAAATAACAAAACCAGGCCAAGACCTCAGTAAGTCACTGTAACTTCAGCTGTACCAACAATTTTTATGCTAAACTTGCTAAGGCAGCGCCAGCTTATGCTGTGCCTTTGAGTTGCCTACTGCTTGGACAGTCTCAACAATCGCATAATTTACCGAAAGATGATCAAATGGTGTTACTGTAGCACAGAGTGTGGTATACATTAAACTGTATATGACAAGTTTGGCTTTCGTCCCTTGCTAAATCACCTATGAATTTAAAAGTATAGCAGGCAGTAAAACAAGTGTAGCATTCAGAGACACGAACCAATGGAATCCAACCATATTCACTCCTATAAATAAAGTGTAACACCCAGATGTACAAGCAAAAGATACACAGAATACCCGTTATGTGGTTAATCCCATTCTCCTTACACTGTATGGAGCTTAGAGGTGAGAATGTCAAAAATGAGCATCTGGCCACCCAGGTTCTATCTAAATGGAGCCCTGGGCAAGAGACTTCCTGTACCTCCATTTACTCATCCATGAAATGAGAATTTGGAATTTGAGTATCTCTAAAGCATCAACAAACTCTAAAAGTCTGTGAAAAAAATAAAGTCTATGGGGCGCCTGGGTGGCGCAGTCGGTTAAGCGTCCGACTTCAGCCGGTCACGATCTCGCGGTCCGTGAGTTCGAGCCCCGCGTCGGGCTCTGGGCTGATGGCTCAGAGCCCGGAGCCTGTTTCCGATTCTGTGTCTCCCTCTCTCTCTGCCCCTCCCCCATTCATGCTCTGTCTCTCTCTGTCCAAAAATAAATAAACGTTGAAAAAAAAAATTTTTTTTTAAAAAAATAAAGTCTAAGTGATTTACTGACAGCCTTGATTAATACTGCACTAGGTGAGAATTGTTCCAGCTTGGAAATTAGCAACGACTCTTGACCTTCCTTTGGGAAAGATATCTGGCATTTCTGACTCAATGTAACTGGAGTAATTCTAGAAAAAGAAACTGCTATAAAACTGCTATAGCAGTTGTTAAATTGGTTTCAGACTATTCCTTCTACGTGAGGATGTATTAGTGTGTACTTCCCTCCTTCCTGAAACGGGCATGATGTACAGAGTTCATTGTCTATTTACCACCAAAGAAGGAAAAAAGTTGCCAATTAAATTGGCATACCATAAATTTCTGAGGTGTTAAAATGTGAAAAAATGTCTTAGAATGGACTGAATGTTGCAGCATAAGGTCTTGATACAGCTCTCCTAGTATCTTGGACAAAGCTACCATCTTCCAAGAGGAATCATAACCATGCAGGTGAGTCATCAGTCCCATTTGACTCTATCTTCTCTTCCTACTCTCATCACCTTCATTAAACTTAAAAAAAAAAGGAAAATTATTTATCATTTCTATTAAACAGAAATTAAGAAGAAAATAGTTAATGGAGGCTAACTGTATATCCCTTGACTACTTTCTGCATTTCTTATTCTTCTCAAAGGCAAGGAGTTGCTGTTGTTTTGGGAATATGTCAAATATTTCTGAAATCTCTAAGGGCTACTGGTGGATATTCTCCTTTCTTATCACCTATTCTGATACCTCAGACACCGGGGAACTGGAAGGGGATCTCAGAAACCATCTAGACCACGCCTCAGGAGAAACTGAGCCTTCAAAATGATGCTATGTACAACTGGGGGCAGGGTAAGAACTCCGTTATCTGACCCCCTGGTCTAGGAGATGCTAGACTCAAAATATTTTGCTCATTTATTTCTAACTTAGTCTAAACACAACAACCGAGAAGAAGAGTCTTTCTTGTCTTCTTAGATGAATTTTCTCCAACTAGTTTAATGGTACTAACTTTCTCTAATACTATCTCCCATTTGCATAGCATTAAAGTATAGACAGTCTGAAACAAGTTAGTCAAGTTTTCTCAGATCTTCCTTTCTCACCCAGGTTCAGTGACAAAGGCTTGTTGAGTTGCAAAGAATGAATGAGGGGAACTGCATAAAGCAAGGAAAGAGTAAAAAGCAATGTATTCAATATTCCCCCCTACTTTCCCTTTCTAAATACTTTTTTAAATGAATACAATAAAATATTCCCTCCTGTTAAACTTAAGATACCACTAAATCATTTCCAAATGTAGGAAGCATCCCTGTGACACAGTCCAAAGCAAGCCCTGCATGTCTCCATGTGGTACCAGCTCTAATAGATGTTCAAATAAACAGAGCTGCATTGGAAGACACCATGATGAAGAAGCAAAGAATTAAACATTCAGACTCCCATGCTGACGTCTGCATAAACATTTAAACCACTTCCCCATCACAAAAGTCCAACTTGGTATCTCCAGTTTATAGGGAATGTCCTAGAAAGGCAGCCCATATTTCTATAGCGTTAGCAACACACTGCACGAAATGCAGAGGCTCTGATCTCACGGACATTCTGGAATCTGCCCCAAACAGGGCAGTGTCAAATCTGGCTTGAAAACAACAAGAGCCACACTTCATCCAAAAGCACACATATCCCAAGGACTACTGCTGTTACACAAGTCAAATGTGCCACTGTCACCTTCAAAGAAGACACTAATGGGGAGGTCCTACAATTGAGATATGCCCCTACTGGGTCTTTCCTGAAGATGAACCTCTCATCCTATTCCATATACTCAGATCAGCTGCCACCCCTTGGCCAATCACTACCAAGACATTTTACACTCGACTAGCCTAATTCGTCATGACACTGGATCTCATGTCTTCCTCTATCTAGAAAGACCTGTGGTCACCTCAAAAAGAGACACTTTGTTTTCTTGCCAAAATATCCCAAACCAAGATGGCCAATGGGTTAATATTCTTTTCTGAGCTCTTCAATTATGCTCCTTCTGAGTGAGAGGGCTGGCAGGCAGGGCAACACTGTCACAGCTGCAAAGAGCTCTGCAGATGTCTCTGTTGTGTTCAGTCGCACTGAAAAGGAGAAAAGATGGCCCTCTGACAACAGACAGCTGTCAATGAGATGGCATGCTCACACTCACTAGGCCAATGAGCAGCCATGGAGGTGACAAGTGCTTGGCTAATCAGCTTGCCTATAAAATCACAGCCCTTCCCAGTGCTGCTCACGCCAGCACAAGGAGTGACAGCACGTACAGTCTTCAGCTATCCTGTTCTCAGTCTCTGTGTGTGTGTCTCACTCACTCACCCCAGTGTCATTAGTACTGTTACAAAGGCTCTGGTCAACACAACGTGTGTAGAAACAAAAATGAGACTAAAAGAAACTGGAACAAGAACAGGAAGAGAAATCCCTGCGGCAAAATGACTCAAAAAAGGAAACAGCGATGTACTACCCTATTCAGGGCTAGTCTGCAACAAGACTGAACTATACTGGTATCCATTATACCTAGAGAGAAATATGTATTAGAAATGAAGAGGCAGAATGATCTACCTTTTCCCCATCCTCCATCTTGTCTTTCTCCCTTCTAGCCACCAGGGGGCAATTTGGGGATAGAGACTCATAGAGGAAGCTGAAATTCT